GATATATTGTTGTGAATATTCCTGTATATTATCCATATCTTGTATATGTTTATTTCATCTCTTCTCTTATTCATAATCTTTCAAAACACATAACAACTATCGAAACTGTAAAACCCCAAATTGGTGGACTGTTGGTTGTTTGTCCGAGTGACAAATCATTGGACATTTTCAGGAACCTTAACATGGAGTTGTGCCCGACTTTTTCTCAAGGCGTAGCTTAGGACACATTACGCACACACGGCTTTCTCTTAGGCTACTTGACAATGCTCTCATTTATTTTGTTCAATCCCGTGTAATTTGCATGTACCCCTCTCCCGTTTTCGATGTACGTATTTTGTATTTATTTGACTACGGCTTATCTTCTAGGAGCACACCCCGAGACTAGTATAACCATTTTCAAACTAATTCTCGATCCGTCATCGAGCCATTTTCAAACACCCCTCTGTAAGTTGAGTGCTCGTCCGCATTCGCCATCAACCTATCGCACACACGGTTGCACTTCATTGTAGACTCGATATTAGGAGCACCCCTAGGGACTAGTATCGTTTGTCATGCCTTAATCAAAACCCTCGCTTTCAGTTGATGTGATCATTGGAGATGTGCTCCTGTTGTGGAGGGTGATGGCCAGGTGTCCATTGGTATAGTTGTGGTGCTCCCTGAGTGGAGGGTTGATGGCCAGTTGCCCATCAGTGTGGTGTGCTCCCTGAGTGGAGGGTTGATGGCCAAGTGCCCATCATTGATATGTGCTCCTGTGAGGAGGGTTGATGGCCCGGTGCCCATCGTGATTGTGAGTCGGTACTGTATGTTTAGTGTTGTGTGAATGCATTGTTGCGTGATAGTGTGTTGTGGTTGATGGCGGGACCGTGAGTCCGGATGATATGTATATGAAATAGTATTATTATTAATTTCTGCCTTTTATTTCATGTACCAGTATACCATTATTATTTAATCGTAATTCTCACCCCTTTGTTGTTGTTGTGGTCTGTGCTTCTTCGGAAGTACAGACAATCCAGGTGTTTAGCTTGTTGGAGTGTGGTGTCTCCGTAGGGCTGTTCTGATATGTAACACTGGGGCGTTTTGGGAGTTTTACTGTCGATATTGATATGTGTGCCTCTGTGGCGTATCTGTTTTTGGTATATGTGTGGTGATGTTTGATGGTGTTGTGTATTTTGGGCAAATGACCGTTATTGTATATATATGATGATGATGATGGATATGGATGATGTATGTATATAATATTTTGTGTTATGACAGACCATATCTTTTTCCGCTGCAATTTTATTGAAAAATTCAGTTAAATTATTTGGAAAAATATTTGTGGAAATTTTGACGTGTATTGTGGCATCCCGTTTGGGAGAGAAACTCTGATATGTGTTTTATTTTATTTTGGGAACGGGGTGTTACATTTATTACGGCTAACCAACTTGTGCATATGCAATAATTTCAAGAGGAGATAACATTCATTCTCACAGTCGAGCAGTTCAGGGCATGACCAGTTACGCTTGACTCAAATTGGGTCTAGGATTTTCCCCTGGTTTAAATGTCTTACTTCATTACAGAGACTCAACTGTTCTTCTTAGATTATGGGATCAGGGTTTGTGAGTTGTCATCATCATAAGCATCTTCTTTTTGAGGCACAATTTGAAGATCATAAAGCTAAAGGATCGTGACAAGGACACCTTAGTAGTCGCATTTTTTCTTACACCTCAAGACTCATCTTCATCTCTCGGACGTTATCTTTGTGTGTTAAACTCATTAGCCATCAAGGCCACGATTTTATTACTTCCGTTGCATGTTTTAAGTTTTATTTTCAAATCTACACCAAGTTATTCCTGAGAATCATTGCGATTTGGTTCAATCTTGTATAACGCAAACTAAGAATCCCGTATGTGATCGTCTATTTTCCCAACCGTGTTTTAATGGTGAGCCGCGTTCCTCTACGAACGATGATTTCTTTCAAGTCATGATTTATTTGGTTTAAGGTATTTCAAGATACGGCAAATGGTCAAGGTAAGTAGGCAACTTGTGATAAAGAAGTGGGTTCATTTTAAAAAACTGTTTATTTTTAAATGAGGTGCTTCGGCCAGTTATCCATCGCAAGACTGAATCATCAAGGTGCTAGTCCCAGTTTCACTTCATGCAGTTGCTTAAAAAGTATGCAAAACAAAACATGTAAAGGATATGCAGAGAGTTTCTATTGATCCGCAAAACAAGAATAACGAGAGATGCAATAAGAATTTGTTTTGCACAATATAATACATGTTTTAAAGGCAGAGGCGTCGCGACCTCATTATTGTTACACTGTTACTAAACTTTTCTACAAATATATACTACAACAGTACATTCTTTATCAAGACAAAGGTACACCAATGAAGTAGAACATGTTTTGTGCTTTTTTTTTTCGCCTTTCGTCGGGGCGTTAACATTAATACTGCAGCAACTACATTTTTACAATATTCGGCAAGTGAGTGATCTTGGTGCTCGCATGCTAGGTCGCGTTGTTCTTTCAATCCAACAACTTCGGCGATATTCCATCACAGATCAGGAACATATTCAACAGGTTCTTCCTCAAACAGGATTCAGAAACAAGATCTGCGTCTGATGTTTGCAATATTAAACTAGCATTTGGAAGTCAAAGCGTGGAAGCACATTTCCATTGGTTTATTGTCAACTATGTATACTCATCATCTTTTTTAATCACATTGCTGTGAAATTGAAAGGTACTATCGCACTAAGAAATTTGTTGTGTGAGAACAAAGAGCTATGACAACTAAAATAAACAGCAATAAGCAAAAATAATTTTATATGCAATAAGACATCAATTTGACTTGGCAAAAGAAGATAAAAGGACAAGAAATACAATAACTTATTTATCCAGTTTGATCAAACAATCTACTTAAGAGGAGAGAATAGTTCTCTGATTCAATATACTTCTAAAAGTTCTTATAAAATATTACTAATGAGTTACAAGATAATAGCTAGTGGAGTTGTAAAAAATAAATCTTATTTTTTACGTAAGTGTTTCTCAATTTCTCCAACTCTATATATAAGTCTCAGAATCTCAATGAACTTAAAAGCCAAAGGAGTTTAGAAGTATTTTCTAAAGGCCGTGAAGACAAAAGTGATAGAGATACATATTTATAACCGTTGAAATCTAATAGATATTTAACGGGTCAAAAACACATCTCTTTAATAAATTATTCCATAATCCATAACAACCAAATCCAATACACAGAAACTGTTTGGACCAAGTCTGACACACGACAAAACTAAATCGCCTTTCAAAATCAAATCGACTGTTGTTGCTGCTGATCCGCCAACCACCAAAGCTTGTCGGCAGCTAATCTAATTTTTAATTTCTACAATTACAAAAAATACTCTTTTTTCCCTCATCATTTAAAATTTTAATTCATATTTCAAAACAGATTCTCTGAATTATTCTTCTTTAGTTAATAATTTTGTCACCAAACTATTTAACAACTCAAGGCTCGTCAAACATTATTTTTTTCAATTTATGACGTCTAATTACTACATTTATTGTCTATTTTTCTATGGAACATATTTATACGTGAAAAAAAAATTAAAAAATAAAGTTTCTTCTCTAACACCTACCACCTACCACCATCTCTTTAGTCAAACAAAAAAAAACCAAACACCATCACCAAATCATATATAATAATATGTTCAAATTGAATAATATCATTGAAATATTTAATTATTATTACAATTTTTTAATATTCTAATTTCTTTTTCTCGTCTCTTAAGTATTTGTCTATCAAATCCTATTTGAAATAATTTATGATCATAACATCACCAAAGTCCAAAATAGACCTTGGTTTACTTTTCTAGTAACAGGCCAAAAATAATATGAAAGTGCATTACGTATTCTCAGTCAAAAAGGACTGCCATGCTTACAATACTAATAAGGTTTTGATTTCTTAGTGTTGTTTAACCAATAAGGCTATCCTATATTAATTTAATTTAATTGATAAGGATAATAAAATAATTTTATAATATTAAATAATATAAATATATTAATCTGCAATATCATACCATTAATTTTAATTTATAATTTAATATGACAGGATACATCAAGATAATTGATTGACTGTATAAAACTATACAGTCAATACATACCAATTAAATTTATATTAATTTACTTCACACCGTAATTTATCGATAAAATATGCAGTAAAATATTATATAATATATATATATATATATATATATATATATATATATATATATATATATATATATATATATATATATATATATATATATATATATATATATATATATATATATATATATATATATATATATATATATATATATATATATATATATATATATATATATATATATATATTTAAGAAATAAAAAAAATATTTTTATTTTTATTATTTTTAGATTAAATAACATTAATATAAAATTGTGTAATTAATCAATGTTATAACTTACTTAATTTTTTATATTTTATTAATTAATTTTATTTATTATTAAAAATTATTTTTAATATTTAAAGATTTATTAACCAACTTCACAACTTCATTAATTAATTTTTTATTTTTAATTAACTATTTTTTTTATTTTTTATTAATTAATTTTAGTTTATTATTAAAAATTATTTTTAATATCTGAATATTTATTAACTAGTTTCATTATTTCATTATTTAATTCTTTTACATTTTATTAACTGATTTATTTATTATTTTAAAATCACTATTTATAAATATTGTTCACGTAGTACTGTGTTCACGTCTTATTCATTAAAATATATATATTTTTTATTTTGATAGGTAGGTGTCTTGTAAATACATAGCCGTCTTCGAGCAGTACTGATTTAACTCAATAAATAGGATTCATAGTATTGCTTTTGGAGAACACACTAATACAAGTTCACTTTCTCATCCTATGTAAAGTGTCATCATCACTTAATTTTTTAATAAAAGCTTTTGTTTTCTATCTTCTCTTCTGTTCAAGGTTAGTCATTCAACATGAAGATTTTGATGTTCTGGCTAACATGGGCTTTTGCTCTAAGTTTTTCGTCTGTGGTTTCAGCTGCTATAGTGGAACGTACTTTCACGGTAAGCCTTTAATTTGCTTAATGTTGAAATTTTTTATTTGTTGGTGTTTGTTAAGTGATTTTTAATTTATGCATATTTCAGTTTTACTCAATTCTCCACCAAGCTTAACCCCCTTGCAAATTGCAATACAAATAGTGTAACATAAATTTAGAGTATGCAAAATTTAAAATAATTGTGTATCATATCTATTAGAGATTGACAGAGAGCCTTATAAAACCAACTTATAAAGAAGAATATCATTCAATATAACTTCTGAAAGACAATAATATAAGACTTTGAATTTTTCCAATAATATCATATTACCGTATGGTAGCTTAGAATACTCGAGTATACATTTTTAACAACATGGACTAAATAGTCCTTTTAATATTATCATGTTATGGTCCTTCCATATATACTAGATACTTCATATTGTATATTCCATTTTTTTTCTTTTTTAAAAATAATAATTAGTTGTGTAGTTGTAATGATAAAACAAGTGTTATTTATTGAAAAATATCTTATTTATAGATAATAGATTATATAGTAGGTATATGAACTAAAATATAATAAATACAATTAAATTAGTAAAAATAATAATAAATCTTATATTCTTTCTTCATTTTCTCTATTTCTTCTTCTAATTAAATTTGTACCTTATCTACTCACTCATGAACAAAATTAGCAAGGTACACAAATTTTAATGTCACTGCTTCTATTTTTTTTTATTGTTGGGCAGTTTCAATTGGCATATGTTAGTTAAGTCAAATTGAAGTAAATAATTAGTCTAAAGTTTAATCTTTGGAGATAATATTTATTTTTATTTATTTATTACTGTAAACAAGTTATTAATATTTATAAAAAGTTATTATTTTATTAAAAAAATATCACTACTTCTACTTGATTAACCAATATATATCAAATTTAATTAAACCATAATTAATCATAATTTTTTAATCATTTTTTTATTGCAACAAAAACTTGTCTTTGACTATTTAAATTAAAAAGGAAAGAATGAAAAATAAAATACAGGTAAAAGATAAAATATAAATCGTGGTTTATGTTGATGGGAGTTGTTAGACGACCAGCAACAAAGCATCTAAATCTCACAGTCAAATGTGGTGAAAATAGAAAAATGTGCTTTTTGAAGAGTTTTTTAAATTGATATATAAATTACTATTAGCATTGATTCTTAATCAATGTGGAATTTTAAGGTGTACCATCACACCTGCTCCATGTCGAGACTAAAGAGCTAAAAGGGTTCAATTGCAAATATGTGTATCCGCCCCTCGAAGAATCTCAAATTTGTGTCACTGCATTTAAAAAATATACTCTGAAAACATTTAAAATTTTGGTGGTGTATTTAAAATTTTGGTATGCATTTATATTGGTTTTAATTTCCAGTAGTATATTTTAATTTCATATTAACTGATTTATTCAGCATATTAATAGTAAATTTTAATGTTAACGAGTTGCAGGTTCAAAACAAGACGATCAAACGGCTGTGCCATGAACAAGTTATTGTTACCGTAAATGGCCTTTACCCTGGCCCAAATCTGGAGGTCAGAGAAGGTGACTCAGTCATTGTTCACGTAATCAACAATTCACCCTACAATGTAACAATTCATTGGTAAACATCCCGAATAACATTAAATCATGTTATAATATTACAATTTTGCTAATAAAATTGATTTTAATGTCTAATTATTTATGAATTTTTGAACTCTATATATATAAAGGCATGGAGTTTTTCAGCTTTTGAGTGCATGGGCAGATGGTCCTGAATATATAACACAATGTTCAATTCGTCCTGAAAAAAACTATACATACAAATTCAAAGTGACACAACAAGAAGGAACATTGTGGTGGCATGCTCATGCATCAGTTGTACGCGCAACAGTACATGGTGCTTTTATCATTCGACCTCATTCGGGTCGATTTCCTTTTCCTAAACCTTACAAGGAAGTACCAATAATATTAGGTATTTGATTTTTGTTGATTTTGTTCTCTTCAACTTCAATTATCTTACATGAGAATAACTTTAACAAGTTTTGTTTATTTTAACTATTTTGACATAGGGGATTGGTATGATGGAAATGTTGAGGAGATTGTCGAAAAAGAACTTGAAACTGGCGATAAAATAGCATCTGATGCTTTCACTATCAATGGTTTTCCGGGAGATCTCTTCAATTGTTCAAAAAATGGTATGTTTCTATTGTTACGTCGTACCTCAGACAAAAACAACATACAACATGTAATTTGTCTGAACATATATTTATAAGTGTCAGGCAACTTTAACCTTACAACCTTACAAATATGTTTTATAAAATGAGTTAAATCCAATTTACATATTATTAAAATAAATATATTCTAATTCATGTGTATGTATTGTGGACATGTATATTTTAGATGTATATAACTTGAGAGTGAAGCAAGGGAAAACCTACTTGTTCCGAATGGTCAATGCAGCACTCAATAACAATCTTTTCTTCAAGATAGCAAATCACAACTTCACTGTTGTAGCCCTGGATGCTGCATACACCGAGCCTTATATCACCGACATAATCGTCCTCGCGGCCGGCCAAACCGCCGATGTGCTTTTCACAGCCGATCAACGCAGAGGTCCATACTACATGGCTGCATCTCCTTATGTTGTTGGCGAACCAGTACCGCTCTTTGACAATACAACAACTCGAGGCATTGTTGTTTACGACGGTTACAGAAAATCAAAAACTTCACAAATTAAGGCTTTGATGCCAGCATTGCCACTCCACAACAATACACCAATAGCTCACAAATTCTTGAGCAACATAACTGGTCTTGTGAAGGCTCCGCATTGGGTACCTGTTCCACTTAAGGTGGATGAGCACATGTATATCACAATTAACATGGCTTTAGAACATTGTCCTAAGAATACCAAATGCACAGGTCCACTAGGACAAAAATTCTCAGCTAGCATGAACAATGAGTCCTTTTTGCTTCCTGTTGGAAAAGGGTTTTCTATAATGGAGGCATATTTCTACAATGTGAGTGGTTTGTACACTACAGATTTCCCTGATAACCCTCCAAAATTTTTTGACTTCACAGACCCGAAAATATTTTTCGATGCTAATGTTACATTTGCGCCAAAATCGACCAAGGTGAAGAAATTCAAGTTCAACTCGACAGTTGAGATTGTGTTTCAAAATACAGCTATTTTGAATGCGCAAAGTCATCCCATGCACCTTCATGGTATGAATTTTCATGTTTTGGCTCAAGGGTTTGGGATTTTCGATCCGAATAGAGATAAATTAAAGTACAATTTTGTGAATCCTTTAATTCGCAACACGGTTGCTGTGCCAGTGGCAGGATGGGCTGCTATTAGATTCCGAGCAAACAATCCAGGTATGTATAAGTATGTAACATAGTTTAGTATTCGAAAACTGTCGCTAATTTAATTGTAATTTGTTTCTAGTTGTGATTTTAATAGGCTAATTTAGAGTGTTTTTCATTGTTTTTGTTGTTGCAGGGGTATGGTTTTTGCATTGTCACGTGGATGATCATAACCTTTGGGGACTAGTGACGGCTTTCATTGTTGAGAATGGACCAACACCTTCAACTTCTCTTCCTCCACCACCTGCTGATTTACCTAAATGTTAATTACCAGTTAGTTAACAGATTTTTCGCAGATTTATGAAAGTTTCTAGAGGTACAAGTCTAAGAAGAATTCGGTATTGTAGTCTAAATATTTTCAAATACATTTGTTAACTAAATATATGAACAATAAAAAAGATTGTTATGTCCTCCTATTTCATATACATTGACCATACTATAGAATCTTATTCTAACATAATAACTCATTCATTATCTTCAGAATCGCCGTCACTTAGTTCGTCCTCATCATTAGAATCACTGTCTCTTAGTTCATCCTCCTCGTTTGTTAGAAATAGGACAAACTTTCCTACCATACTTTCATGTATAGAGGATGTGTTCGGAGTCGAAGTTCCAGATCTATAATTCAAAAAAAAAGAATTCATTAGACTAGAAGTAACACTATAAAAGCACAAAAGAAAAAACTAACACATAATGATAATGGCTAAAAGTGCAGCCATATCCATAAGATAACAGTAGAAGAGAACTTACATCCAACGAGTTGAAACCAAGCTTTCAACGTAATCCATAGTAGAAAACCAACACAATTTGTTAGAAATTCTAATTCTCTCTACTCCCTTATCTCTCCGATTATAGATAATTGCTCGATCATCTTCACAATTTGCCAATATCAATGTATCTCCGTTCATAGAAAGGTGCAATGGCAACAATGGAGTACCAAACTCCCTGCCTACATAGAAATTCAAGTCATGATAGATTTTCAAGTACTCAATTCTAAACAATTGAGTCCAAGATTCTTGTACCCCAAAATCCTTCATTTTCCATATAACAAATTCGATTCCTTTGAAATCATGCGAAAAGCAAAGACAGTCCATAAGAACGTGAAGAATTGGCTGAAAATGTGGCACCTCGTCAAAACCACGAGGTAGCAAAACCTGTGTGTATGTTTCTGTCGAAAGATCAAGTGAAACAATAACAAACTGTTGAGCATTAGTAATAGACTTCCAACCATATTCGTAAGCTGGTTGAACGAAATTGGGAAGAGCCAACAAGTTAACAGTACCACTCAAATGAACACCATTATTAATTTGATTAATATGAATATTCATTAGAATAACCGGAATCATAGGACAACTTTGAATTTGTCTCCAACAATTGTCATGAAAATTGAAAACTCTTACCTGACCTTCCCAATCAATTTTGTTCTCTTCACCTCGTTCGGCAAGAACCTTTCTAAGGGTCACGACTTTGTAAGTTCCAGTTGAAATATCACATCCAAAAGTGAACTTGTAAGTGTTTGGTTGAGTGTTACAGTCTTTAAAAGTCCCAATTTTTTTAGATATTTCCCTCGTGGCAGGGTTCCATAAACAAAACCAGTACTTCCTATATTCATCATTCAGTGACCTAAAGCGAGAATGGAAAAGCAAGCAGAGCAATCCGTGGCAGGAACCAATGATCTTACAGCTGCCAATGGAACTGCGGAAGTTGTCACCGGAAACAGTGATTGACGTATTCTCAAGTATACGAGACACAGGAAAAGATTTGACTCTACTCATAGGATATTTCCCAGGGGATTTTGGAGTTGGTGTGAGAATGAGATGCGGGTTTTGTGACGATTTCTTAAGGTGCATTTGAATAAAGATAGGACCGGAGATGAAATTGTTCCATGACTTGCTCACGCATTTGAGTTGAACAATGTTTTCCAAACTAAGAAGCAATAGAATTTTGGAGATTAGTTCGTCGGGAATGGAAGCAGGCAGCATTGGTGTCTTGGATATATTTGTACGTAGACAAAGTGGTAATAATGCCTCACCCAAATGAGAGTGTGTCAGGATTAAGAATTTCAATCTAACAATATTAACTTGTCAGATAAGTTAGAATTTGCGGTGAGTTCTTTCTAATGTGGTGATAGATCTTAATAAAACATAAATCAAACTTATTTAAATATAATTATTTTGTATTTAGTTAGAAAAACTCATTCAACTATCGATCTGATCTATATTGGGAACGAATATTTTGAGGGTGCCAATTTCTAAGTAGGCACTTACAAAGAAAAGATAAAGTTGTAAACATAAAATATGAAAGAATGTTTTATTTGACTTGACCAAGTTAAAGTTGCAGAGAATACACCTAAACCCAAAAAAAATGTAACGAAAAATTTGACTCATAAATTTCAAATGAAATGCCACAACACAAGGCACAAAAAATCTAATAAGTAAATATAAGTAAAATATATATGACGGAAATTTAGTTTCTACCATCTTTAAAACAGTTGTTGTTTCTTTTAGTGATATTTGATTTTTTTGTTTAGGTAATATTTAACTTTTTTTCAAATCTCATATTTTTATCCTTAGTCGTTTTCAATTCTTTCGTTTTGAATTTTTAAATATTTCTAGTAAAATAAGAGATCTATCCAGTAAAATATTTTTGTAAAATAATGGGTACACAATAATTTCTAATAACAATAAAAACAAACCATCATCATGTGGAAATCAATTAACAAAGCAATATTTTCAACAAAAACCAAGTAAGATTGATATGTGTATGAATGTGTAATATGCTTTTGAATAGAAAATTAAACTCCCTAATCAGTGGTGGGGTCTCCGGTCTTATGTGGAGACGTGGTCACTCCAAAAATTATTATTTTACTAAAAATAATTAGGTGTATAAGCAAAGTATTTATTGATATTTATATATATAGTTGTTGTCTAATCTATATTACTTATATCAATTTGGCTGAGTGATTATTTACAGCCGTTTTATTATTTTTGCAATAAAAATGTAAGTGTTTGGTGTTCTGTGGTAGACGTCCGGTGCTCTTTTAGAATACGGGATCCGACCTAAATAATTGTGCAGAAGTTGGAAAATCCATCACGCGCGACGATCGCTTGAAATCATTTGGAGCATCTTTGGTGGGCTCTAAAGAGGAAGGAGAGTTGTCTGACCGTAAAGTGTTTGTAGGGCTTGCAACAACCTGAGTTGTCTGAATTCACCGTCTTAGTAGGTGAAGCGCTCTTTCATCCTTCATTGAATCTGCAAATAATGATTACTAACGTAAACATATTACAAATAAATAAGTTGATAACAAAGGGGTAAAATTCATCTAAAACTCACCAAAGATGACCTTCCTCTTCTCCCAGGTGTGAGCGTCCATCAACAAGCGGGTTTTGATAAGTCGTTTCAAGCACTTTCGTGAATATTTGTCTTGAGGAGTAACACTCCCGGGATAGCTGAACTCCTTGACAAAACCTACTAGTTATTTGTTTAGGCAAATATTCTCCTGAGACATGTCATCCTTCTTGTAGACGTACAATTCATTCCATCAAAAAAGACTTTTATTCCAGTACTTGAAAAATAGACCGATACACCTACCTCTCACTCTAGTCCCTACGTTGTCTACCGTGCATGAGCTTCTTAGTGGAGAAGGACCACCATGAAAAATTGATTTTTGAAATGCTTTAATTTTTTTTAAAATTATCTCGAAACTATGGAAAATCTGCACTAGATTAACCAAACCATGACCTCGCTGAAGTGAGGTCAGGACCCTATAAACAGGAGTTTAGACGGTTCATTTGAAGAGAACTTGGTAAAAATTTGGTTGATTAAGTATTTATCTTAGTAGGGAGTGAGAAAAGTATATTGTGGACTAGAAACACAACATGAGAGAAAAAGAAATGAAGATTGAAGGCGGAAATCCTATTCGAGGAATCGGCAAAAGATGATTTTCATCATCTTTCTTTTGGGACATAATTGTAAAATTACGATGAGTAAGCATATCTAATTTCTCTTTTGCTTAGATTAAACATAATCGTCCTAATGCTTATGTGTTGATTCTGTGAGGGCAATCCTCATAGGTAGCTACACTTGTTTTAATGATGTCAAAACTTAGATTTGGTAGAAAAATGTACTTTGGACGGTATCATTGTGTCACATATGCATACCTTATCCCTCTTGAGTCAAACATCGGTCAGAAACATTATTTGATACATATAGAAATTGTTCAATATATGCTTCATATAGGTTTGGTCAAGTGTGTCTAGCTTACTATGTGATAGAGTACCTCAAAAGTTGCATGATACATGAAAATATGCATTTTTGCATATTTTAGGTCATTGAGTTGACTCAAACTTGTTTCGGTCGACTCATACAAAAAGCATTTTGAATGGTCTACTCTCAAGAGTGCTCGCGTCGACCCTCCGGTCAACTCATACTGTGTCCATTTCTATTTGTCTAATTCTGCATGCTTTGCATCGATGCATGACCTGCTTCGGTCGACACAAAGTTCTGTTTTCTGCATAATCTAAAATTCGGGTAAGCTCAGGTCAACCATCCTTTCTGCATAGGTCGACCGCTCGCACGTTTTCAGTTAAAAATCTGTTATGTGAAACTGTCTTTGTGGTTGTTAAGTTGGTTAATTATTTTTGACTTGCATATATAGTGAGTTTTGCTCTTTCTTCAAAAATAATAATAAGAAAAATGAAAATAGATATTGATTATTCTCATCATCTTCATCCTCTTCCTTGCATTTTCTCAACAACTACACATAATCATTTTTGTTGTGCATTCTGCTTGTTAGAGGTAATAATGTCCAAACATAGGATTAGTGTAATCGGGTTTGGGTTGAGAAATCAGTAGATCTTTCTTGAATAAAACCGTTAGGGTTTTGTCCTCCAAGAATCTTGGATTTTGGGGTTTTTTTGCACGAATCGGTCCATCATAGATTTAGCCGAGCGAAGGTAATCGAAGAACGGGTTGTTCTGTCGGTTTAGTAGCGGTAACCGGAGGATTGTGAGAGGAAGATTCGGGTTCGAAGCGTTGGTGATTTAAATCATTCGGGCAAGATTTGAAAACCGTGGGGTTATTCAAAGGGTGTGCCATAATCAGAGGTTTATTCATCGTGTTCGAAGGACTTGATTCAGCTTAAATCAAGGGAAGAGAAGGAATAGGCTCTATATCAATAATTGTGTTTGATCGTTTGATTTCTATTGCTTCTCTTGTAAACATTTACCAACAGGTTATATCTATATACAAGTCTCAATTCTATTTTTAGAATTGAGGGAAAACGTACCCCGAGCGAGGACGACGGGGGAGCTGCCTCAACAAATTGGTGTTCACTCTTTACTTTTCAATTGCTTAATTTCTGAGTTTGTGTGCAAATAATTGAGTTAATCAAAATTCTGATGTGAGTAGTGCTGAACCATTTTTGAAGCATATTACAATCCTTGATTGTAATTGAACACTTAAGCACTTCATTCTCATATTGAAATTCACTTGTGGTGCCTTGCACACCAAGTGTTTGACAAATTGTGTGAACAATAAACGATTGTGCTGTCTTTTCAATTTGATTATATTTTTCAAGCATTGGAAATAGTCAAACCTTATAGTGAATAAACTCTGGTTGATGTGTGTTCAAATTAATGATTCTTAAATCTCGTTTTTATCGGATTCCATAGGCTTTGCGCATATCCGGTTTTTTCGGTAAAGATTCGTTTTTGACGAATATAGTTCCTCTGCCACTTCCACATAAAAACTTTTTAAAACCAAATATTGGTAGCACCGACTCTGTTTTTAACAAGTGATCTATTCAACCCCATCCCCCTTCTAGATCTGCGCCATCGTCTAACAAGTGGTATTAAGAGCACTGGTTAATTTTGTGCTTTACATATAACTTCTTAAAAAATGGCTAACGAACCAAAAAGGGATTATGATAGAGCGCCTATTTTCAATGGTGAAAATTATAGTTAATGGAAAGATTGTATATAACCATGACCGATGAAAATAACATGATTGTGCCTAAGCCTGAAGCACAATGGAATGATGAAGACGGGAAAAAGTACAATTACAATTGGAAGGCTAAAAATATTCTGATCTCCTCCTTGGGAGTTGATGAATACTATAGAGTTTCCCATTGTTTGACTGCTAAGGCTATGTGGGACTCATTACAAGTTTCCCATGAGGGAATAAATGATGTCAAACTAGCTAGAATCAATACTTTGACACAAGAGTTTGATCTCTTTCATATGAAGCAAGGGAAAACCATTGCTGACATGCAAAATATATTTTCTCACCTAATCAATAGACTAAATTCACTTGGTAGACCAGTTTCCAATGATACTTTTAGGAACAAATTTTTAAGATGTCTTACCAGGGAATGGAAACCAAAACTCACCGCCATAAAGGAAGCAAATGATCTTATGACCTTGAACCTTACAACACTTTTTGGAAAGCTTCAAGAACACGAGCAAGTGCTTCTTTGTCTCGAGCAATTTGAGAAAAGGGAAAAGAAGGAGAAAACCAAAAATGCAGAAAAAAAGTCTATAGCTCTAAAGCCTTCTTGTTTAAAGTCCTATGCAAAAGAGCTGAGTGATTACGATTCGAGTGATGACGAAGATGACAAAAAGAATGAGGATATGGGGATGTTTATGAAGCAATACAATCACTATGTAAAGAAAAATGGTATCCAACATTCCGAAAAGAATCTAGTCAATTTCATAAAACAATCAAGATCTTCTAAGAATGAAGACAACAAAGGAAGTAGAGTTAGAAGGTTGTGTTTTAATTGCGGAAAAACCGGACATTACAAGCCGGATTGTCCTTTAATGAAAAAGGACAAAGAAAAGGAGAGTAATCGGTCACATAAGAAGCAAGTTAAGCCTAGAAGAGGTTACATCGCATGGGAAAGCGATAACGAGTCATCTGAGGATGATAGTTCTAGTGACGAAGAAGAATCTATCAACCTTTGTCTCTCTGCTCATCAAAAGAA